GAGTGCCTAGCCTTAGCAGGGGTAGGACACAATCTAGTGACCAGGGTAGACTAGCGAAGCCCTCCTCCTCACCCCATCCCACCCCTAGCTCCAAGCTTCAACGTGTCTCAAACCACCCCCTTAAATCGACAGCATCTTTTTTTGAGGTTTATTTATTTATTATACATACAGTGTTCCCCCTGCATGTACAACTGTAGGCCAGAAGAGGGCACTAAACCTCATTACAGATGGATGTGAGCCGCCTTGTGGTTGCTGTAAATTGAACTCAGGATTTCAGTGCTCTTAACTGCTGAGCTAACTCTCCAGCCCCAATCAATGGTATCTTTTTTTTTCATTTTTATTATTTGATTTCATTTTACATTCCAACCACAGTTCTCCCTCCCACCCCTCTTGTCTCCTCCCACCCTTCCTCACCTCCCTGCCTGGCCCACTCCCAGTCCACTCCACTTCACAGGTAAGGGCTCCATTGAGAAGTCAAAATAGTATAATACAATGAACAATGAACGAGACTGCCTAGGCGGGGACGGATGCAGTACAAAAGCAATATCTTAATAGAAAGAGCCACTATGGGCTTAGGTAGAAACCTGGTGCTAAGGTAACTCACAAAAATCAACAAGGAGGACCCCATCCAATCAACTGTATCTTAAGGCCCTCCTTTACTGGGTGAATGGCAGCTAGCTCAAAGCTGGGAAAACTGGGATTCACACATTTGTAACTGCAGGGCGGGGGCGGGGGCATTTGCCATTTACAAATAGCTTGTCACTGTCCAGTGCCTAGCCTAAGGGGTAGAAGGACAAGAGCCAGCCCTAGAAGGCTGCTAGCCCCCCCCCCCCATCAGACACGTCGCAACTCTCCTCCTGGCTTTTGCCCTTTCCTCAGAGTTGCCTGTCCCCGTGCACCTTCTAATAAGGTGGGAACGCCCAGGATCTCGTTCTGTGTGCTAAGAAGACCTCAACACCAAACACCAGAAACAAAGCTGCAGTGAAGTGGGATTCCAGATGGGATTCCATTAGCCCCAAAGCACTAACCCTTGTGCACCATCTTGCCTGCTACTCTCCTAACCCCCAACCCCCCCATCCCCCAGGCCACAAATTCTCACCTGGCTTGCTTCAAGGAGCACCCACTGGCTAGATGAACAGCTGCGTTTACTACCAGCTTAAGGGGCAAGACTGGAACAAACCAGGACAGCCCCCAAGGTCACAACCTTCGCCCAGGCCCCGCCCATCCTTCTGTGTCTT